AGACGCGGTCGAGCCTGTCGAGGTCACTGGTGACTCCGGTGCTGCTGCGGGAGCTGAGCCTGGGGGTGCGGAGTCTAGGGGTGCTGAGCCTGGGGGTGCTGTGCCTGGGGGTGCTGTGTCTGGGGGTACTGAGCCTGGGGGTGCTGAGCCTGGAGGTGCCGAGCCTGGAGGTGCTGTGCCTGGGGGTGCTTCGTCTCGCCGGGAGCCGCTCTCTCCACAGGAGCTGCGTGAGTGGTTTGCCCGGCGCTGGAGGCGTGCCGCTGGTGCTGGTGGTTCTTCGGCTGCGGAGGGCGCTGCTGCCACGCGACCTGGCGGTGCTCGTCCTGTGGGTGCTGGAGCTACTGGGTCTGAGGGTTCTCCTGGAGCTGGTCCTGCTGAGGACGTTGGCGCTGAGCCTGCGGTTGGTGGTCCGACTGACGGTGCTCCTGGTGCTGCTGCTGGAGGTTCTGGAGCTTCTGGTGGTTCTGCTGGAGGTGCTGCTGGAGTGGGTGCTCCTGCCGGGGGTGCTGGTGCTGTTCCTGCTGTTTCTGGCGTCGCCGCGCGGCCCCGACCGTACTTCGTTCCGCTCCTGCAGCAGGTTCTTGGTCTTACACCTCCTCCTCCTCCCTTAGAGGGTCCGCAGCCTGTCCGGTCACAGCCACAGCTACAGCCTGCCTCCCCTTTGCCTGCTCCTTCTCCCTACGCTGGTCCGACTGGAGGTCTTACTGAGCGTCGTGAGCCTGCGTCTCGTCCTGCGTCGCCTGTTCGTACTGAGCGCGCTAGTGGTCGCGGGTCGCGTCAGCGTCCTCCTCCTGTCCCTGGCACGCACCGGATGTCACTGCGTCCGTCCACTGCTCCTCTGCGTGCCCCTTTGCCTTCTCCTCCTGCTTCCTCTCTTCCTGCTCTTGCCGACCCGGAGTCGGACTCTCTTCGTGCTGCCAGTCCTACTGTCACGCGTCTCCTTGCTACTGCTGTCACTGACCCTTCCTTCGAGTCGTCTGCTGCGTCTGCCCTTGTCACTGAGCTTGTCGACTTTGCTGCGCGCTGTCGTCTAGACTACGCTGCTCGTCTTGTCGCTGAGTCTGAGTCCGCCTGTCCTCCGTCCGTCGGGGGTGAGTGTGCCCTTGGCACGGACGTCCTAGAGGACAGGCAGGAGGAGTTCCAGTGTCTAGCCGCTGCTTCATCTCGTCTCGCGTCTGTACTGCTAGCCCCTGAGGGAGACCCGGATGCACTAGACATCCCGACTCCGCGTTCTTACGCGGAGGCCGTAGAGGGTCCCTACTCCTCTCAGTGGCAGGCAGCTATGGATGCAGAGATGGCTTCCTGGAAGTCCACAGGCACCTACGTTGACGCGGTTCCCCCTCCTGGGGCGAACATCGTCAGTGGCATGTGGATCTTCAGGGTGAAGCGGCCGCCGGGCTCGCCGCCTGTCTTCAAGGCGCGTTACGTGGCTCGTGGCTTCAGTCAGCGGCAGGGAGTTGACTACTTTCAGACCTTCTCTCCCACCCCGAAGATGACCACTCTTCGGGTGCTGCTGCACATTGCCGCTCAGCGCGACTACGAGCTTCACTCTCTCGACTTCAGCACTGCGTTCCTGCAGGGTAGCCTGCACGAGGAGATCTGGCTGCGCCGTCCGCCTGGCTTCACTGGGACTTTCCCTCCTGGCACCCAGTGGAGCCTCCGACGGCCAGTCTACGGTCTCCGCCAGGCACCGCGTGAGTGGCACGACACACTGAGGACTACGCTTGCGGCTCTTGGGTTTGCTCCTTCTACTGCTGACCCGTCGCTGTTTCTTCGCACCGACACTTCCCTGCCGCCGTTCTACATCCTCGTGTACGTCGACGACTTGGTCTTTGCCACAGCGGACACTGCTGGACTCGCCTACGTGAAGTCCGAGCTGCTGAAGAGACACACGTGCACAGACCTGGGTGAACTGCGCAGCTACCTTGGCTTGCAGATCACTCGGGACAGAGCACGCCGCACCATTACCCTGACTCAGTCACACATGGTGCAGCAGGTCCTTCAGCGCTTCGGCTTCACGTACTCCTCGCCTCAGGCCACTCCTCTGCCTACTCGCCACTCACTCTCAGCTCTGCCTTCGGATGAGTCCGTAGAGTCGAGTGGTCCGTATGCAGAGCTTGTTGGCTGCCTCATGTACCTGATGACCTGCACACGACCTGACCTTGCATACCCTCTGAGCATCCTTGCACGCTATGTTGCTCCTGGGAGACACCGACCAGAGCACATGGCTGCAGCGAAGAGGGTATTGCGCTACCTGTGCAGTACGTCGGGCATGGGGCTAGTGCTTGGAGGGCGGAGTCCAGTGGTCCTTACTGGGCACGCAGACGCTTCTTGGGCTGACGACCAGGCTACGCAGCGGTCGTCACAGGGTTACACCTTCAGCCTTGGTTCCGGCTCTGTCTCGTGGCGGTCTACTCGCTCGTCTTCGGTTCTCGGCTCCAGTTGTGAGGCTGAGATCTACGCCGGGGCCATGGCTGCACAGGAGCTTCGCTGGCTCACTTACCTGCTGACTGACCTTGGAGAGCTGCCTCGTTCTCCTCCAGTGCTGTACGTAGACAACAAGGCCATGTTGGCCTTGTGTCGAGAGCAGCGCTTGGAGCACAGAACGAAGCACATTGCTCTCCGCTACTTCCTTGCTCGTGAGCTGCAGCAGCGTGGTCAGTTGCGACTTGCTTACGTGGCCTCTGAGGCCAACACTGCTGATGTGTTCACCAAGGCACTTGCGCCTTGCGACCATCAGCGCTTTTGTACCCAGCTGGGTCTTGTACCTGTCTTGCCTCACTTGCTCTCTTCTTGACTTTACTTGTACTTTGACATATATATACCTGCTCTTGCTTGTCTAGTTTTATATATATGTCTGTACTCCTGCATGTGAACTGGCCTCTGGCCTTGCTCTTGTGCTCGGACTGTGTGGTGACTTTGTGATCCACCCTGAGCTTGTTTTGCTTTGCTTGACTGGTCTTGTGACCCCTTGTTCTCCCCCACTTTGCCTATGGGGGTGTGTCAGATTATTATAGCTGATGCATGTTTGTAGGCTATAGTGGGGTAGCACATATGGGGTACAGTTTGCTAGGGTTGTATTTGTACCCAACTCTGACTTAGTCAATTCATTCCTGTTCAGTTAGTTTCACAGGATAGGGCGTCGCAAGGCCTGTGCAGAGGGGCGCGCGTGACTAGGCAGTAGAATCGTCTCGCGTAGGGGACGGGACGCGCCTAGGGCAGAAAAAACTGTCTCGCCTAGGGCGCGTTTCGCGAAGGGGAAAAAAAAAAAAAAAAAAAAAAAACAGGACGTTCCTAGGGGCGCGACTCGTATAGTAGATCGATAATTTAATGGTGGGCCCGTTTAAGAATCCGGTCCTAAGGACCATTTCGCTCTTCATACCATGTTTGAACTAGGAGGTGGGTTAGAATGAGTGTCGATTAGGTAAGAGAGAGGGGTACAAGACTATCGAGAGGAATGGGTTGTACCCTCTAAGGAATGACCCCTACACAACCTAGAGAGAAATGAATAGAAATATGTTTTGACAATAAAAAGGCCGTTTGAGAGAGAGAGAGAGAGAGAGAGAGAGAGAGAGAGAGAGAGAGAGAGAGAGAGAGAGAGAGAGAGAGAGAGAGAGAGAGAGAGAGAGAGAGAGAGAGAGAGAGAGAGAGAGAGAGAGAGAGAGGTACTAGGAGCCTTTCCAACCTCTCATAATCTATCCTGACCCCTCCCACCTAGCACATAGGGTGTAGGAGCTGTTATTTCTTGTCATTGTTCACTGTTGGATTCCTTTTCACAGAACCCAGCAACTCGTGCTGGCTGCCTTCAGCGGCCGACGCTCAACAGCACCTCCGACGATCTAGGCCAGCGCAGCGAATGGTGCTTTCACCAATAGCTGAGAGGAGGGAAGCAGTAATTTAAGCATGGTTAGGATGGCTCATTTGGGGCGCCATTGTATGGTGTGAACATTCAGGCCTGACAGGCCCTTCAGGTAATTTTCCAGATCATGGGTTACAGCAATTTTGAGAATGAGAGGTTTAGAATGATGATTCCGCACATACATTCATCCACACAATCTGTTATTGCAACTCATAGCAAATTATATTTACACGTAGTTTCCAATTTACGACATCCTTCATGTGTTGGACTTTTCAGCTACTGAGCAGCGGCACCTGCGCTGACAACAACAACAGGCACCCCCCACCTCTCGCGGAGCCTGTGCCGAGCACACGATAATATGTTCCAATGAAATTGGAGTCATACATAATCACCTGGAACGGTCAATCTTGAATGGACTATGACACGCTGTTCATGCAAGGCTGCCCGATTGACATGAAAATCGCCCGATTTATATATTTCTCTCATGAATGCATCCGAAATCCAATAAAAATGTTTATTGTATTACTCACCCATTTTTGCAGAGCAAATCGACCGAAAATCCTTGGTCAGGTGAGGACCTTACGGAATACCTGAACCATCTGCACTCCAAATGTTGCCTCTAGCTACAGTCCTACCATCCTCAACCATGGACTTCCCGCCAGGTACCCCGCCAAGTGCGTCCATCCGAATGAAATGCCCGCAGCGCATTCCCACAGTTTCCCGCAGCGCGCAAGAAATGGAAGTAGGGAGGGACATTCGACTTGTGCGCGATGGAACCGAGTCATATCGCTCTTTCTTTCAAAACTGCACCGTACTGAACAGCTACGTAACACATGTCGAATACTCATTCCTCTCATGTTCAAGAATTCTTGCTCAGCATAAAACGCTGCTTCATTTCTTCACTTACGCAATTGAGCATTCAAGCTCTGTTTTCCACCTCGTCAACGAACCAGTATCATTGTCCGCAGCACGACCAATTCACCAGCTAGGCGTTCCAGTCCACGATGGGGTTCCAACGTTACCTTGGCGTATCGATTTTTCTCTTGATCGTCACCGAATATGTCGGTGAGTGAGGCGACTTACCTCGCATGTCCAGTCTATTTCAAGCAACAAAATCTCACGAGCTTGCTTCCATGCGCAGCGACAACCGCGGCAGCGGCCGGGAATGTGAAGACCGTTGGCGCGGGCCCGTGCCCGTTGCCCGAAAAAGCTGCGACTCTCGGAAATTTGACGGGTGAGATAAGGAGGAGAAAATTTCGCGAATCTTGCCAAAGTGGCGCCCGTGGCGTGGTTCAAACTTCTTCCCGGCGCAGCTGCGCACAGGGACCCAGGGCCTTCCAATTCTTCTCTTCTTGCGCCTCTGTAATCCTCGACTTTCCTATCTCTCTCCCACGTCGTTCCTCCGCTCCTCTCTTCTTCGCGCAGCTATTCTTGCCGCCCGACTCAACGGATCTGAAACGGTTGGATCGACAGGCGACAGCGGCGCCAGCGGTCGAATCTGCCTCGCCATCTTCCAGTAAGCCCAACTGCCACCATCGTCATGAAGGAAATGGCTCAAATTTGCATGCCGAATGTTTTCCAAAAGACTTTTCCGTTACTTTCCCGGTCGTGCCATCAGAGTGTGATACCTCATCGTCGCTTTTCATTTCAGAAACGAGCAGTTCCCGGAATTCTGAAAGTCCATCTAAGTAACGAGCTCCAGCCCATTTTTTCCTCAGTCCTAGCTGGTCGTTTGAGCGGTCACCGTTGCAGGGTGTTATTTTCTCTTGAAGCAATACAAACCCCATCCCTTGGCTCGTTTGTGCGAACCCTAAATGATTCCGTCAGGTTAAACGGAGATTATAACGTCTTCTACCATGCGCTCGTTGCCACCTCCAAACCGGGTGCGCCGACCACCGCCTACATCGCGCGAGGCTGGGCGGGAAAGGCAGGGACCGCCTTCATCATCAAAATTGCCGGCCCCAAAGTCAAGTGGGATAATAAAACTCTTCTGCGCCAGCCTACATACAAATATGCCAAACAGGGGATGTGGCTTAAAGCAAGTACGCTCCCATCCTCGATTAAGCACGTGTCGATTAAGAAACTGCTGGACGCGATGAGGTCGGCAGCGAGCGGGTATTATGGGGCATTCACGACAGAGTCTTTTACGGCAGGAGCAGCGAGGGGGCAGTTTAATAATGATCCTCTTCCGCCGTCGCCTGGTGGGAAAGAGGGACTCGTTCTAGTTGGTAAGAAGCCTTTGGCTCTTCGACATTTTCTCGCCGCTCGCTCTCATTGATTCTGTCTCTTTTCCGCCTCAGTCTTCACCACCATCACTCTGCCATCCTCACCCACACTCCGCCATCTAACACTCCCCCGCTCTCACTCTGTCTTCCCCAACCCTCACGCTCTCCGTTGATGTCAATCCCGCGTTCGTTCAGGGGTGGTGGGGGCCAACCTTACGGACAGAAATGTTAACCCCAGGGTCCCTGGGGACATGTACGGCATAGGCTGCGTTTCTATCGCCGCCTTCCTGTAAGGCTCTCCTCCATTCCCTCCTCCATTCCCTTTCTCATTCTCTTCTCCCTTCTCTTGTTCTCTAGTTCTCTCAGTCGTCCCTCTTTTCGCCCCTCCACTCTTCTCACCCTCCCCCTCTCCCCTCACTCCTCCCACCCTCCCCTTCTCCCCTAATTCTTCTCACCCTCCCCCTCTCCACCCACTCTTCTCACCCTCTATCACTTTTTTTCCCAATTTCATGGTGCAAACCACTGCCCTCCATACACACCTACTCGTCTCTGCCCGGACCTCACTCGTCCCGTCCCATCCTTGCCTTCTCCTTGCCCTCTCCTAGCCCTCTCCGTGCCCGTCCTTGCCGCCATCACTCTCAGCAACACCACCACAAACGACTATGACATTTGTTACCGCGTCAGCTTGACACTGCAACCCTCTGTCCCCTCCTTACCCCTCCGTGCCCCTCCTTACAATCACCCCCTTTACTAGGAACACCACCACAAACGACTACGTCATTCGTTACCACGTCAGCATGAATACAAGCGACTCTGAGGGGCCAAACGAGGTTCTTGTCCTCCAAGGCTTAGACGTGCCACTCACTCTGGTCAACGGAAGCGCCACGTGGACCAATCGCACGTCCCCGGACGCTAATGTGGTTGGCAAGTACATGTACGAAATCACCGGCACTATTCCGGGGACATACAAGCCGTTGATGAATGGAATGCTGGCTGCGCCTCAAGCGTATTCTGCTGTTCCCTTCACAAGCTATTTTGACATGGGTGCACTGAGGGGTTGGTTTGTCAATACTACACTTGCAGGAGGGAATGGTTGCGCTATAGTCTAGAGGGGCGAAAAGCAGAAACGAGAACACTAAAATATGATGCATGCACCTTGAGCGTCAGATCCAGAAGCTCTTAGTGATGTGTGTGTATAGTGTGTTGGGACCCAGTGTGACCAAGTTTGTGTGTGTATTTTGTATAACTGTAACTATACATACCATATGTACAATACTGGTACCTGTACAAAGGTTGCCATGGCACTCATTTCGCTCCACACCAGCACCAGAAACATGGTTGAGTGGTAGGACTCATGCATATGCATGCGCATCTGCACCTGCACAAGCACGCAGACACACATATGTGCATGCAAATGTGCACACACATCCGCATGCAGATGTACATGCACATGCTATGAGTGTGTTACGTGTGCAATTGAGTGAACGAACGAGAATTGCACTATCGAAGCAAAAGTACAATGAGCGAAGGCATGAGCGAAGGATTATATAGCGAAACAATAGTGGTAACGGTAATGGACTGTGGTTGTCGCGCGTCGAGCCTGAGACTGAGGTTGGGAAAGTGTCGAAGCGTAGGCCCGGAGCGCGGGTTACCAGCCGAGCCGTGAGGTCGGGATGCGATGTGCGAAAAAGGCGGGATGATGAATGATGCGATGGTCGCGAGTGGTAACGGTGCTGACTGAGGTGCTACAGTGACGTACGCGCTGGGCAGGGACGCGAAGTAAGGAAAAGGGAATTTCCTTACACTACCCCCCTCCCCAAGGAGGCCCCTCTTACGAGAGCGCATGGACGTCGCGGAAATTTCGGCTTCGCAGATACTCGGTGAAGACAGGGTGGTTCTCAATTTTATCCAGGGGGACCCAGTTGTCTTCTGTGGGCGTTCGGTCCTTCCAGCGAATTAGGAACTCGATCCTTCGGGCTCCCCGAGGGTCGCGGACGCGGTGGCTGAGGATTTTGTCAGGGGTGATGAGTGGTTCGGTTGGGGGACGTGTCATGCTGGCTGGGCGATTTCGTGGCAGTTGGCTCGTGGATGGGATGTAAGGGCGAAGTAGGCTGACGTGGAATGACGGGCTGACGTACCAGTCAGCGGGGAGGAGGAGGTGGGCGGTGACGGGTGTGATCATGTGGCTGATGCGAAATGGCCCACAATATCGGGGGCGAAGTTTTGGAGTGATGGGCAGGCGAAGGTTCTGAGTGTCGAGTAAAACGAGGTCGTCGGGCTGATAAGTAACGGGTCTGCGATGTCGATCGGCGTTGCGTTTAGCGATGATGTTTGATTTTTTTATTGCTTCTGCTGCCCTGGTCCGTGCTGCCTGCAGAATCTCGGCGAACTGTTGTGCTCGTGGGACGGGGTTGTCGGGATTCGGTGTCATGGGTACTGTTGGGTCCTGTCCGTAATTTAGATAAAACGGCGACTGTTGCGTCGTGGCTGATGGTGCGTTATTGTATGCGAACTCAATGAGTGGCAGTTGCTGTTCCCACGTATTCGGGTCGTCGCACGTGGCTCGAATCAGCTGCTCCATGGTCTGATTTGTCCGTTCCGTCTGTCCGTCGGTTTCGGGGTGATATGATGAACTGAACTGTAAGCGCGTGCCGAACTGCTGCCACAGGTTCCGCCAGAAGTTGCTGGTGAATTTCGTGTCCCTGTCGCTGATGATCGACGCGGGTATCCCGTGCAGGCGTACGACGGTGGAGATGAATAGTCGGGCGGTTTCCTCGGCTGTGATGGATTTCCTGCATGCTGCGAAATGAGCCATTTTCGTTAGTCGATCGACGACGACCAGGATCGCGTCATTCCCACTCGCCCCAGCTGGTAACCCCGTGACGAAGTCCATCGTCACCTGCTGCCAAGCATGCTCTGGAGGCGGGATGGGTTGTAATTGCCCCGCTGGTCGCTTCCTGCTTGTCTTCATGAGCTGGCAAGTGGGACACGATGCCACGTGTCGTTGCACGTCAGTCAACATTTCTGGCCAGTAGTAGTACCGCTGCAGCTGCTGCCGTGTTTTTTCTACCCCGAAATGTCCCGAGGTAATTCCGTCGTGTGCTTCCTGTAACAGTAGTTCCCGAAGTAACGTGTATCCCGGTACCCAGATGCGGTCGGTTCCAGTTTTTACGTAATAGACTCCTTTTGCCGCTGCGAATTGCTGTGAGTTGCCTCCTGTAAAGAACGGGTCTGTTTGATATCCGTGGGTAAATAGGCCGGTAAGCAGTGGGCTGGTCTGGGCGAGTAGTATCGCGTGGATCTGGGCAGTGGGGCGGGTCAGTGCGTCGGCGATATTCGATGCTCCTTTTTTGTATGTGACCGTATAGTGAAAATTCGACTCGAGGAAATCGAGCCATCGAATCTGTCGTGGGTTGAGGTGGGGCTGTGCGCGGAGGTACTGTAGAGATCGGTGGTCTGTCCGTACTGTCACGTCTGCGCCAGTCAAGTAGCAGCGCCAAACTTTGAATGCATGCACGATCGCGAGCATTTCGCGGTCGTGTATCGGATAATTTCGCTCAGGCGGATGTAGTTTTCGTGATTCGTAGGCGATGGGTTGGAGGCCGTTGCCGGAGTCCTGTAACAGTACAGCTCCGATGGCGATGTCACTTGCGTCGGTAACCACTTCGAAAGGGCGGTGGGGATCAGCGATGCGTAGGACGGGTGGTGAGCAGAGAACGTTTTTTAGGGCAGAGAAGGCAGCATGCTCTTTCTCCCCCCACGTAAAAGCGACCCCCTTACGCAGTAAATCAGTTAGTGGGGCGGTTAAACGTGCCATGTCGGGCACGAACCGTCGAACGTAATTAACAAACCCTAAAAAACTCTGCAGTTCCGTGATGTTCGTCGGGGGGCGCCACGCTTTTACCGTGTCCAGCTTCTTTGGGTCAATCTCAACCCCAGCCTCTGAAATGACGTGACCTAAAAACTCTAGCCTATCCCTAAAAAACTCGCACTTGGAGCCCTTGGTGAGCAGCCGATGTTCCTCCAAAACCTTAAAAACTGCTTCAAGATCTGCTAAGTGTTGCTGCTTATCCCGACTGTAAACGAGGATATCGTCTAAGTAAACGATGACGCATTTATCTAAAAGTGGCCTAAATGCCTCGTTCATGGTCATCTGAAAAGTCGCAGGCGCGTTCGTCAACCCGAAGGGCATTACTGTATACTCGAATGACCCGTACCGAGTTCTAAATGCTGTTTTTGCGCAGTCCGATGGTTCGACGCGAATCTGATGGTAACCTCCTCGTAAATCTAT